GGGGGGGGTGGGGGGTGCCTGGGCGCTGCCGGGACCCTTACTTGGGAACTTCCCTCCCAGATTGCGACGTGTTGGGTGGCCAGGGAGAGCAAGTGGCCGGGTTTCTTGGCCCACGCCCCTGGCTTGGGCCGGCCAGCCGCTAACTTCCTGGTGTCCGCTAACCCCGTTCATCCCTATGTGATCGCCCCACAAAATACAACTCATCCCACTTCCGGTCGGGGAACCCTTTCCGCTGGAACCCACCTCTTGGCCTGAGTCTGGCTGCCTAAGGCCCCCTCCTCCCACGAACTTCTCCCACGCCCTGCCGGGCCGTACCTGGCACAGGGTCACCCCTTAGCCCCAGATCTTTCTCTCGGGATCCTTCTTCCAGCCGCTTAAACGCCTCACCTCCTACCCAGTGGGCAGTGAAGGTGGGCAGTGATAGGGTTCTTGAAGGCCGAGGTGAAGGAAGCCCTGGAGCCTGGGGGGGCCCTGGCAGTTTTGTCGGGCTTCGGGTCAGAGGTCAGTGACAGAGGAGCGGATTCCTGCTGAGTCATGGGCCTGGGTGGGATCAGGCCCCTCCCTACCTCGGGGCCGTAGGCAAATGTGTGGGGAGAGGTTCTGTAGTGGCCACAAACTGCTGTCCGGGGCGTGTCCACTGCCCAGGGAAGTCCACAGTGGGGGTCCGGATTCAGAGAAGAAACTGCCGAGGAACAGTCCCTGGAAATCTGGTGTTTTTGAAGGGGACCCAGCAGGCAGCCTCCTGTCACACCAGATTTGGGGGCCCCTGCCTGAAGGTCGTCTGGTGGGAGGGCCCCTCGCCAGCAGCAGTACCCCAGTTCTGGAGGACCCCCCAATACATGCAGGCTGACCCTTCCTAGGGACATCAGATGGGACAGTATCACTTCTTGTGTGGCTGCCCCCAGATGGTGAAGTGCAACCCTCCAACAGTCAGCAGGGCAGTGCCCCCAGGCCCTGTGGTCAGACATGGTGTGTGATACTGATCCAGTCTGATGCACAGCAATGTCCCTACCTCCGTGTTGTCAGACACTGACCTCAGTACAGATAGGATAGCTGGAAATGTATGCGAGCCAGGCACAGCTGGATACCACAGTCCCATCCACCATGGTCACACAGACACCATAGCACCGTTCACCACAGCTCCATCCACCACAGTCCCGTCCACCATGATCACAGCAAGTCCCCAGCCCAGACACCACAGTCCTGTCCACCACCTGAGACCCTGGTACAAACCCCACAGTCTTGTCCACCGTGGTCAGTTACAGTGAGGCACAGCGCCGCTTGCCCCGTGTGGTCCACTTCAGTCTGATCCCGGTCCAACCAGGATAACACGTCCACCCTTGTGAGGACAGACAGTGGGGACCCGGATGCAGTCAGATAGAGAAGTGATCTCACAAGGAGTGTGGGGACCAAGTCTCTCGGATAGTCAGACCAGGTCGCGTCTCCCAGGCAGCAGCAGAGTCCCCCACCTCCCATCACCACATGCAGCTAGCATGTCATCCCTGGGGAAGCCAGCCAGGACAGGTCCCCACATTGTCCTGCCCTACGACAGCATCCAGGCTCCCGCATTCCCACGCAGTCGTCCCCTGGCCCCAATGCAGCACAGCCAGCCAGTGCCCACCCCATCCCGTCAGACCTCCCGGATGTTCCTGGGGGTAGTATCCTACCCCTCTGGGCATCCTGCAAAGTCACGCTCCCAGCCAGGAGCCTCAGTGCAGGCAGGACAGGGGCCCCTCCCCAGTGTCACGAGAGGGCGCAGCAGGGGCGGGGCAGGAGGCAGACAGGTATCCAGGTACTTCAGTGACGTGCGCAGACAGGCCCTAGGAGCCCGAGAGAGGCCTCACCTGGCCTCCAAGGGCACCGCCGGCTTCCCGGAGAGGCCCAGCCCTGGAGCCCTGTGGAGGTCAGGTGGAGGTGTGAGGTTGGGCAAGTGGCAAAGGATGAGCCGGCTAGCCACCACGGAGGCTGCAGCGTCCCAAGTGCAGCGGGAACAGGGCGGTGACCCCTGAGACTTGGGGAGGTCATTACTGCCATGTGGATGGGCCTGGTGGGGACAGGACTCTGAGCAGGGTGGAGAACGAATACGCTGCAGCCCAGATCCAGGGAGGTTTTATCAAAGATGGGGCCATCAGCTGGGCTGGGCCATTGACGGTAGGTGTGAGGGCCAGAGGGAAGGCCTAGAAGGGATTGGGGGGGGGGGTCAGGGCTTGGAGGGCTGGAGCTCTGTGACTAGGTGGGGGGGGGGCAGGGAGAAGGTGTGGCCAGGTGGGTCAAGGCAGGGGGGTGGGGGTCGTCCTAGGGCCCAGGGGCAGCGCTAACAAAACACCACACAGTAGGGGGCTTACAAGAACAGAAATTTATTCTCTCGCAGTTCTGTAGGCTGAGAGTCCAAATCCAGGGTGTCGGCAGGGCCGTGCTCCCTCCAAAGATCCCGGGGGAGACTCTTCCTTGTCTCTCCTCTCTCCGCGTCTCCTATAAGACACGGCTCAGAAGGGACAAGGACCCCCCGCTCCAGTGTGACCTCCTGTGAACTGAGAGGATCCTCAGAGCCCCTATTCCCAAACAAGCCCACCTTCACGGGTGCAGGCTTGGGGCTTGAACACATCTTGGGGACACGATTCAGTCGTACAGTGGGGCTTCAGGCCGCCGTCCCCACGATAATGACAGTCACAGAGCCTGTGTCCTGTGCTCACCTGTGTCTGGCCCGGGCCAGCCCTGGACAGCTGCGTTCTGCAGTGGCAGGATGGGCCCAGAAGCAGAGCAGCCTGCCCAGCATGTCCCAGGCAGCGGGGGCAGAGGCCGGCAAGAATGGGTTCACATTTTGTAAAATCAGGAGGAAAAAGTGAATATAATAATCATGATACTTGCCTGGATTGTGTTTGTCCTTATACCAGCAGTCAGAAAATATAACTTTTAATGTTTTGAGTGTTTTGTTTTGTTTTGTTTTTAACGGAGGAAGGAGCTCACAAAGCAAAAACATCCCAGGCCACCAAAGTCACATATAACCCTGAGTGGGGACGGGTTGGGACCCTGGGTGGCACAAATGGTTTGCTCGCAGTTCAGACCCACCCAGCATCGCCATGGAAGAAAGGCCTGGCAGTCAGCTTCTGTAAAGATTACACCCAAGAAAATCCTATGGAACCCAGTTGTGGTGTCACACACGGGGTTGCCATGAGTCAGAGTCAACTCAAAGGCAACAGGTTTTTGGGGGGCAGGGGAGGAGCCAAGCCCTTGCCTGGAAGCTGCCGTGCAAGGCCATCCCTGGGTTCTGGGATGAATAGGGGCCCTCCAGAGTGCTTGATGCTGTGCCCTGATGTCTCCACCCCTGCTAGGGGCACTCTGGGGCCTGGGGGTGTCTGCCCTATGAGCTGGGCTTGGTTCCCAGGCTGCCGTGAATTCCAAGACCCTCCCAAGGTCCTCCTCCCCAGTGTGTGTCCAAGTGTGAGGGTGGGGAGGGGCCCCAGTGCCCCTGCCCCCGGTAACGTGTCTCCCTGCCCGCTCCCACAGGCCCCTGGCCCCAACATGGCCCGTCGCTCCCAGAGCTCCTCACAGGGGGACAACCCGCTGGCCCCCGGGTACCTGCCCCCTCACTACAAAGAGTACTACCGCCTGGCAGTGGACGCGCTGGCTGAGGGTGGGCCAGAGGCCTACAGCCGCTTCCTGGCATCGGAGGGGGCCCCCGCCTTCTTGTGCCCCGAGGAGTTGGATCACGTGAGCTGCCACCTGCGGCCCCCGCAGCATGCCGCCCGCGAGTCCCCCGAAGGCAGCCCTCAGGACGTGGGAATGGACGGCTCCTCGGGCACCTACTGGCCGGTGAACTCAGACCAGGCCGTGCCGGAGCTCGACTTGGGCTGGCCCCTGACCTTCGGCTTCCAGGGCACTGAGGTCACCACGCTGGTGCAGCCACCGCCACCTGATAGCCCCAGCATCAAGGACGAGGCACGCAGGATGATCCGCTCCGCCCAGCAGGTGCGCTGCCATGGGGTGGATCTTGAAGCAGGAGTGTGAGGGTGAAGGCATGAAGCACGAGGGTGGCCAGCTTGGGGTGGGCCAGGCCACTGCAGGTGTCCGAGGTGAAGCGTCCAAGGTGAGGGTCCTGGACTGCAGTGGGGAGTCTGTGGCAGAGGTCCTCAGGCATCACCAGGGGCTGGCCCAGATTTATTGTTCCGGGAACGCTCTGGTCCTGCCCGGTGGCCGTGGTCCAGCCAAAGACTTCCTACTCCCACGAGGCAGCAATCGGACTGTGTTCAACAGGGGGACTGGAGCCGCCGCCGCGAAAGTTATTAACACTCCTGTCTCTGCCCAGGTCCACCCTGCAGAACAGGAGCCTGGGCCTCAGTCCTCTGTAGGGCAGGGGGACTGCAGGGGCTTGCCTGGCCAGTACCACTCTCCAGTCCAGGGTTCTGTACCCAGGGGGGAGCTCCCCAGCTGAAGGGCTGCCCCCTTCTCCCCAAGATACAGGCCCTTCGCCTGCTTGGGGTCCTTCATGGGCCACCTACCCTGCCAGCAGCCCCCCACCCCATGTCAGGCCCCTCCTGTAGAGGCTCTGGCACCCCCACCCTCACCCCATTCCCTGACCCTTCCCCTGGGATGGGCTTGTGGCCTTTGACAGTGTTTGTGGGTGATCCAGAGGGCCCCCAGGGCTGTGGTGAGGCTGGAGAAGGCGGTGGGGACAGCAGGGGAGTCTGCCCTTCATCTGGCCCACCCTCCCAGGTGGTGGCCGTGGTGATGGACATGTTCACCGATGTGGACCTACTGGGCGAGGTGCTGGAGGCGGCGGCACGCCGCGTCCCCGTCTACATCCTGCTGGACGAGATGAACGCACAGCACTTCCTGGACATGGCAGACAAGTGCCAGGTCAACCTGCACCACGTGGATGTGAGTGACCTGAGGGGGCGGGAGGAGAGACCCCCTCGGCAAAGACTGACTCCCCTCTCTCCCCCAGTTCCTGCGCGTGCGCACCGTGGCGGGCCCCACCTACTACTGCCGAACCGGCAAGTCCTTCAAGGGCCACGTGAAGGAGAAGTTCCTGCTGGTGGACTGCGCCGTGGTGATGAGCGGGAACTACAGGTGCGCCCTGCCCCCGCACCTCACCCAAAGCAGGTCTCAGAGCCCGGCCTCGCTGCTCCCGCAGGCCCCATTCCGAACCCCGCCCCCGCCAGGTCTCTGACCCCCGACACAGCCCCGGCCCCTGCCTCCAGCACCTCCCGCTGCGAGGCCCGTGTCCCCTAGCCTCGGCCCTGCCCCGGACTCACTGCCCACCTCCCATCCCCAGCTTCATGTGGTCCTTCGAGAAGATCCACCGCAGCCTGGCGCACGTGTTCCAGGGTGAACTGGTCTCCAGCTTCGACGAGGAGTTCCGCATCCTATTCGCACAGTCGGAGCCCCTGGTGCCCGCGGCCGGGGCGCTGGCCCCCATGGACGCCTATGCCCTGGCTCCGTACGCGGGCGCGGGGCCTCTCGTGGGCGGCCCGGGGCTCGGGGCGCCGACCCCTTTCTCTTTCCCCAAGCGGGCGCACCTGCTGTTCCCTCAGCCGCGGGAAGAGGGCCTGGGTTTCCCGTCTTTCCTCGACCCCGACCGCCACTTCCTGTCGGCCTTCCGCCGGGAGGAGCCGCCGCGGGGGCCCGGAGGCATCATGGAACCACACGCGGGGCTGCGGCCCCTGTTGCGGCGGCTGGACGCCGAGACCGGGCCTGGCAGGGAGCTGGCCGGGCCGCGCGGCTTCTTCCAGGCGCGGCACCTGGAAACGGACGCTTTCAAGCGGCACAGCTACGCGGCAGCCGACGGCGCGGGCGCCGTGGAGAACTTCGCGGCCGCGCGGCAGGTGTCGCGGCAGACGTTCCTTAGCCACGGCGACGACTTCCGCTTCCAGACTAGCCACTTCCACCGCGACCAGCTCTACCAGCAGCACTATCAGTGGGACCCGCAGCTGGCGCCGGCGCGTCCGCAGGGCCTGTTCGAGAAGCTGCGCGCCGGCCGTCCCGGCTTCGGGGATCACGAGGACATCGCGCTGGGCGGCGGGCCGCGATTCCCCGAGCTTGGGCTCGACGGCCATCTGCGCCTGGACTACGTGCCGTCCAGCGCGTCGCGCGAGGTGCGCCATGGATCGGACCCCGCCTTCGGGCCCGGCCCCCTCGGCCTGGAGCCCGGCGCGCCCCCGCCCCCCAATTTAGGCCAACGTTTCCCATGCCAGGCAGTGGCCAGGTTCGGCCCCGAGGCTGCGCCCGCGGAGGAGCCGGAGCGCAGGGGTGGGCCCGAGGGGCGGGCTGGCCTGCGGCACTGGCGCCTGGCCTCCTACCTGAGCGGCAGCCATGGCGAGGACGCGGGTGACGAGGGCTTGCCCGCGCCCATGGAGACCCAGGCCTATGAAGATGACGCGCTGGGCCCCGGGGGGCGGGCAGTCGCCGGGGACCTGCTCCCTTCGGCCTTTCGCGGCCCCGCAGCCTTCCTATCCAAGGGCCCGGACTCGGGCGGGGGCGACACCTGGGAGCGCGAAGGCTCTGACGAATTGGGCCTGGCCAAGCAGGACTCCTTCCGCTCGCGCCTGAACCCGCTGTTCCAGCGCAGCTCACGGCTGCGCTCCTCGCTTATCTTCAGCACGTCACAGGCGGAGGGCGCGGGCGGGGCCGCAGCCGCCACCACCACGGAGAAGGTGCAGCTGATGCACAAGGAACAGACGGTCAGCGAGACGCTGGGCCCAGGCGGCGAGGCCGTGCGCTCCACCGCCTCAGCCAAGGTGGCGGAGCTTCTGGAGAAGTACAGGGGCCCGGTCCGTGATGGGGGTGGCGCCGTAAACGTTTCCAGCCACAGCAAGGCGGTTGTGTCCCAGAAGGAGGAGGTGGCAGCTCTTGGCGGCGCGGCGGGCGAGCGCCGCAGCCTGGAGAGCTGCCTGCTCGACTTGCGCGACTCCTTCGCGCAGCGGCTGCACCAGGAGGCCGAGCGGGAGCCGGGAGCTGCCGGGCTCACGGCCTCGCAGCTGCTCGACACGCTAGGCCGCGGTGACGCCGACCGGGTGCCCTCTCGCTTCCCCTCAGCCCAGGGTCAGGCGACCTCCCCGCAAGGGCGGAACAGCCCGCCGCCGGAGGGGCCCGGGATACACCAGGTGCTCCACTCGGAGCCGAAAGGGAGCCCCACCTCGGCCTACCCCAAGAGTAAGGAGAGCCCCACGCCAGGGTTTCCCACTCGGAGGGGCAGCCCAACAGCAGGATTTAATGAGCAGAAGGGGAACCCCGTCTCGGCCTACCCGGAGCAAAGGGATAGCCCCACTTCGGTCCACCCACAGCGCAGAGGCAGCCCGGTGCCCCCGGTGCCTGAGCGCAGAGGCAGCCCCGTGCCCCCCGTGCCCCCCATGCCCGAGCGCAGGGGCAGCCTCACCCTTGCCTCGGCCGGGGAGTCTCCGAAGGCCGGGCCCGCACAGGAGCCGGCGGGTGGACCCATGGAGGTCCTGCGCAAGGGCTCCCTGCGTCTCAGGCAGCTGCTAAGCCCTAAGGGCGAGCGGCGGCAGGAGGAGGAGGGCGGCTTTGTGGCGCCGCAGGAGAACGGGCAGCTCGAGAGCCCCCGGCGGCCGTCGCTGGGCCGTGGTAACAGCACCGAGCCCACCGCAGAAGAGCAGGGTCCGCGGGCGCGCGTGGTCTCGACCACGGCCAATGCCTTGTACAGCAGCAATCTGCGGGACGACACCAAGGCCATTCTGGAGCAGATCAGCGCCCACGGCCAGAAGCATCGCGGGACCCCCGCGCCAGGGCCCACCCCGGCCCGCAGCAGCCCAGATCTCGGCCACCCACCAGCTGCCGGCGGCTTGGCCTCTGACGTGTCCGACAAGGACGAATGTTCGGCCATCTTCCGCTCGGACAGCCTCGGGGCACAAGGCCAGCTGAGCCGCACGCTCCTTGCCAGCTCGGAGGAGTGCGACCGGCTGCTGCGGCGCATGGAGAGCATGCGCAAGGAGAAGCGCGTGTACAGCCGCTTTGAGGTCTTCTGCAAAAAGGAGGAAGCCGGTGGCCTGAGAGCTGGAGAGGGCCTGGCGGAGGAGGACGCCAGGGACAGCAAGGTGGGCAAGTTCATGCCCAAGATCCTAGGCACATTCAAGGGCAAGAAATGAGGTCCAGGCGCCCAGCCCATGCCAGGCAAATCACTGCCACCCACCACTCCAACTGCTGGCTGGGCTGGGTTGGGGGACCCATGCCCCAGGCCCTCTGCCGGAAGCAGTCTGGGGCCAGCTGAGCACAGCCAGAGCTTGGCCCCATGGGGAGGGCTCCCTCCTCCCGGGGTCTCACCCCTCATTGCCCTGGCACACTCCCCCCAACCCCCTTCTCAGCACTTCTATTTTGGCCTCAGCCTCTCCCCCACCCCGCACTGCCTCCTCACCATCCCTTTGGGCTTCAGGTTCCCTCTGGGCCTTCTTTCTCCCCAGGGCTGCACCTTTTGGCGCCTCAGTCCCACATCCTTGCTCTCAGGGTCTCATTTCTCAGGGCTTCTGTGTTCTCAAGGTTCCCCTCTCCCCATGGCCTCCTCACTGTCTCCTGACGCCTCTCTCTCTCTCTCTCTCTGCTTCTCCATCCAGACCTGGCATCCTTTCTTCCCTGCTTGGACTCTGCCTCCTGGGGCCTCCAGAAGGAAGGGCTGGCTACAGCAGCTTGTGAGGCAGGGGTGGGTCCAGACCCAAAGGGTGCCCCTCTGGGCAGTGACCAAGAGGGGGTGCCACAGGGACCCGAGGGACTGGCCTGTGGGTCGGCCTTCTCCTTCAGCTAGGCTCCAGCCGGGGCCTGGAGAAGGGCAGGTGGGCCAGGCTTTGCAGCACAATAAAACCCACTCCAGACAGATGATGCGTCCCAGCCTCATGGTGTCCCTGAGCCCATTCACACACCAACAGACACATGTTCAGAGGCCCCCCCAGCCACTCTTGCCCTGGAAATGCTGGTGTGGGGCACTGTCTTCACACAGGTGAGGGGCCATGTGGCAGGTAAGGGTTGAGGACAGTGTCTGTCTCAGTCCCTGCTCTGGCAGACCCAGTGCCACTTGTGGTCTTGGTTCCCTTCATCTCTCAACTACACACAAGAATTGTCCAAGGTGTCCCCTTCTCTTTCTTCTGTTTTAACTGATTTGAAGTGACACTTTCCCAAATATTTATAATCACTCAATTGTATGTTGCAACGTGCATGGCCTTCAACTTTGTGGACTCCCCAGATTTCCCATCTGGACACCTCCACCCATCTCCACCCTGCACCCTCTGCCAGCATCTTCTGGCCGCCTCAGGCCTCCCTGGCTTTCTCCTCTCCCTTCCTCGCCATCCACTGGCGTTCACCCAGGTCCCCCAGTCACCAAGCCCAGCAGGTCCTTCCCGAGTCCTCCGCTGTGCTGGGCTGCTTGGCGGCCACCTGTCCAGTCTGTCTCTGCTCCCTTTGCTGGCAGGCAGGGCCGGACTCCGTGGGTTCCCCTTGCCTGTTGCATTCTGGGCACCGGGTTCTTTCCACAGCCGCCTTTGTCCACCTTTGCTTGTCACCACGAGACTGTGCCTCAGGCTCCCGAAGCTTAACTGACCCGCTGCAGCCCCACAGGAGACAGCTCAGGTAGTCTCACTGGCTCATCTCCCATCCCCGGCCCTGGCCTCTCCTTCCTCTCTGGCAGCCAGCCCTCTGCCAGCCCAGGTGCTCTGCTTTCTGGACCTCTCATGAAGTGCTCCCTGCTTGTCCATGACTATGGCAGGTACTACTGCAGGTCAGGCTTCCGTCCTACCCCCAGGGGGCCAGCCAGCAACCCTCACTACACCTCGTCCCTCCCACCCATGCCGCAGCCAGCCTCCATCGCAGCCCAGGCCACACCTGGGAGACTTGGAGCCCCACCCCCCCACCCCAGGCAGGGTAGCCAGGAAGTGGCCCAGTGGGTCCCAGCCCCAGCCCAGGGTGGGTGCGGTGTGGGGCACCCACAAACCGCGGGACACAGCTCTGTGCCCCCTGAGGCCCTGCAATGTCCTTGCCCCCCACACTTGGACTCACACCAGGCCCTTCGCCTGGAGTCCCAGGAGACATCCCCCGGTGGCCCGGCCACCTTCTCCACCTTAGTCCTTCCCCAAGGCCCAGTCCCGAGTCACTGACAATGACAGTCTGGGGCCACACCCCAAGGGGAAGGGGACTGCCCCGCCGTCACTCCCCCTCTTCTCCTCTGGCTCAGTGCCACCTCAGAAACACACATCTCCGCGCCCAGGACCACACTTGGGGCAGCCAGGCCCCTGCAGCAGCCCCAGGCTGGGGTCTAGTGCTCCAGGACCAGCAGGGCAGCTGGAGCCAGGGTGTGGGCAAAGGACAGGAAGGTGACCCCACGCCTGCTCTGCAGGCCACCCCAGGGAGGGGAGCCAAAGGCGAAGGCCTGCCCTGGGTGTTGGGTGGGTGGGGCCCAAAGGGTGTTAACAGAAGGAAGCCACGGGCTTCTCATCAGGCTTCTGTCCTAGACCCAGGATGGAGGGTTTCAGGACAGGGCAGTGGGGACCCTCGGAAGGTGGTGGGGCCCTCAGATGGGGGAGGTGTGGCCACAAAGGAGTCCCTCCCTGCAGACAGAAAGATAGGCAGTGAGGCTGGGGACGGTCAAGACTTTATTGGAGGAAGTCATTGGGGCTGGGTGGGAACTCCATCATCTCTCCAGGGGCCCAGACAAGCTCCCTGGAACTCGAATGTGGCTGGGCAAAGAGGAGGGGGGCTGAGGCGAAAGGCGGGGGTGGCGAGTGATGCGGAGAGGGAGAAGGGTGGGGAATACCAGGGACAAGAAGTGTCGGCGACTGAGGGAAGGGCGGGGTGAGCCAACAGTCAGGGAGAGCATCGAGGAACGTCAGGGACCAGGGGAAGGACGGGGAGTGTCGGGGGATGTGGGGGCAGGAGCACCCGGGACAAGGGGGGCGGGGCGGGGAACGCCGGGGACTGGGGAAAAGTCAAGGAGCAGAACAGGGAGAAGACCCAGGAGTGTCGGGGGACTAGGGCAGAAGCGCGCGGTTGAGGGACCGGGCTGGAATTGGGGCCCCGCGGGGCTAAAGGGGGTGGGGCTGCTCACGCGTGGGGTTCCGGGGCAGGGGCAGGCGGCCCAGCGCCGACTGGCAGAGGGTTCCGTATTCTTGGGAGTAGCCCCCGAGAGAGGCCCTCGCGGCGCCCTGGGCCCCTAGTAAGGCCGAGACGGAGAACATCCTCCGGCCAGGCCGGGTCTCGGGCCGGGCCTCCTGGGGAGGCATGCGAGAGACCTGGACTTGAGTCGGGATCCTCGGAAGGGACGGGGCCGGCGGAGGAAGGCAGGGCCCTGAGAGCGGCGAGCGGGCTGTCGGGGGTGGATCGGGCGGGAGCGGGGCTCACCTGTCGGGCTCCAGCTGCCCTCACCCCCCGGCCCAGGGTCCGCTCCCTCCGGATCAGCGCCTGGTTAGCCACCTCGGCCGCGGCCTGCGCGGTCAGGGAGGGCACAGACCCCCTGCCGCGGGGCTTCACCTGGGGAGGGGCGCGTCACCCGGTCACTGGCGGACAAGGGTGCGACAGGCTCTTGGAAAGGGACAGCTGGGGATGGGGAGGGGTCCTCCCAAACCCCCATAGACTCACCCACGAGGGTGCCGGCGGGGACTTCGCCGCCACCCCAGGGGGCCTTCGCCCCCTCCCGAGGCCTCCTGGGGGCAGAGGCTGGAACAAGGGGGCCACGTTCTGCCTGGGAATGTTCTTGGCTCCGCCGGGGGTTTCTGTGGGGTGGGTAGATCAGTCCAGGGTTAGGGGTCCCGCGCTGCGGATGGCTGGTGGGCCCCCAGGCGGGGCCGCGGCCATGCTCAGTCGGGGGGGGGGGTGGTCATAGGTCACACACCGTGCGCAGGGTCGTGAGCGGGGCTGCTCTGCGGCCTGGTTCCGGAGTTCTGCGCCGGCGTCCCCGAGGGGAGCTGCTGGACAGCTCTGGGCTCTAGCGGGTGCTCCTGGGGCCCAGACGCGCTGGGCCTTCCCCCCGGCGATGCGCCCGCCCGGCCCTCCTGTCCCTGGACGCGCCGGTTGCCCCTCCGTTCCAGAATCATCTGCAGGAGGGACGGGCGCTCAAAGGGGCATAGCGTAGGCGTGGGGATACTGGCGGGGTCCCTTGAGGTCGGGGGAGGGCCGAGGGTGCGCGTGGACAGGGAGTGACGGAGTGGCGGGCCAGGTACCTGATAGAGGCGGCTGCGATACTCGGGGGCCGAGAGCTGCACTCCCTCGGGCACCGGAAGCTGCACATCCGCCTCCAGTGTCCACTCGTGGGCCGCGCAGCGGAATCTGCGGGAGCCAACAAGGGAGAGCGGGTGGACGGGGCTCCGTCACGTCAGCCCCCAGGGCGCCCCTCTCAACACTTCGCGCGGTGCCCCGCTTCCACCCCAGCACACCGGTGCCCCGCCCCCGCCCCTCCGCCAGGGGCTCCTCCTCGTGGCCACGCCCCTCGCCCCGCCCCCACCTCTGCACGTAGGGGTGCCGCAGGGCTTGGGCTGCGCTGAGCCGCTTGTCCGGCGCAAACACCAACAGCTGCCTGAGGAGGTCCAGGGCCTCCGTGGGGGTGTCCGGCGGCAGAAGGGTGTCCAGCGTCTGCTGTGGCCTGTGGGCAGCCCCGACGGTCACCCTCTTTCTAGGGCTTTGACCCGCTAACCTCATCCCAGATCCACGTCAGAGGCCGGGGGCTCGGTTCGCTTTCCTGTCTCCGCGGATCCCTTCCCTCGTCTCCCCTCCCATACCCCACACCTGACCTCACAGCCCCTCTGGCCGTCGGAGAGCTCAGGCTCCACGCCTTCACGCACCCGCTCGTGCCGCCCTGCGCCACTACAGAGCGCCCCAACTCACCGGGTTCCCAGGCGTTGCAGAACAGAGGCGCAGTAGCCTGAGCCCAGAGCCGGGAAGTCTGGGGGTGGGGAGGGCAGAAGCTGGTGTGACCAGCGGGCTGCCGGAAGGGCAGGGGATGCCTACACCTGCTTCCCACGTGCGCAGACATGCTCCCCCACCTGCACACATGCCCACATACAGGCACCCTCACACTCCAGGGAAAAAGTCCTATAGCTACCCCTCAACACAGCAGAGGGGCAGCCCCCTCCTGCACGAGTCTCCCCCCTCCCCAAGAGGAATGACCGCCACCTCCTCCCTCCGCTCCCGTTCCAGGCTCTCTTTGGCAAGGTATGCCGGCCCCAGCGGCCCCAGGCTCCCGTGCCCCCTGCCCTGCCTGTGCCTGTACTTCTCCATGCCCCTCCTCCCTGCGCAGCCCTGGCCGGCCAGGCGCTGTCTCCCCACAGCTGGGCCCTTGGCCCCTCGGGTCCCCAGTGCCAGCAGAGAGGCCCTGCCATGCTCACCCTCCTCCGGAGGCAGCGGCACGCTCTCCAGGATCAGCTGCAGCTGGTGGAGGGTGGACGAGCCCGGGAACAGGGGCCTCCCCCGCAGCATCTCCCCCAGGATGCAGCCCAGACTCCACATGTCCACCCCAGGGGTGTACCTGGGGGAGGTGTGGTGGTATGGGGACAGCCAGCCCGGGGTGGGGGTGGGGGTGCTGAGGCAGACAGGTGGGTCTGGGGGCCAGGCTAGGAGAAGGCCATGCCCCGGGGAATCCACAAGGAGAACTGGGGGTCGGGGTGTCTCGCTGTTACCAGCGCGAGGACAGCAGCACCTCCGGTGCCCGGTACCAGCGCGTGGCCACATACTCCGTCAGGGCGTGGCCCTCGGGCCCCTCAGGGAGCTGGCTCAGGGAGCGGGCGAGGCCAAAGTCACAGAGCTTCACCAAACAGTTGGCGTCCAGGAGAACATTGGACGGCTGGGGAAGGAGGTGGGCTGAGGGCTGGTGGCGCTGCACGTGGGGTGGGGGCTGGGGGAGGACGAAGGGGCAGTGCTGGCATGCTGGGAGCTGCACCTTCTGGTCCCGGTGGATGACATTCCCTGAGTGGATGAACTTGGTGGCCCGCAGGAGCTGGTAGAAGATGTAGCGTTTGTGGATGTCCTTCAGCAGCTTGCCCTTGCGGATGACTGCGTTCAGGTCAGTGTCTGGGGGGTGAGGGGCTGGAATGGGGTGCAGGTCAGTCTGGCGGGGGGTTGGAGGACAGGGGGCCAGGATGGCGTGAAGGTCAGTCTAGAGGGATTGGAGGAGAGGGGGCCAGGATGGGGTACAGGTCATTCTGGGGGTTTAGAGGAGAAGGGGGCTGGGATGGGGTACAGGTCAGGGGGGCTGGAGGAGAAGGGGGCCAGGTTGGGGTACAGGTCATTCTGGGCAGGTGGAAGAGAGGGGGGCCTAGAGAGGTACAGGTGAGTCTGGGGGGTTGGAGGAGAGGGGGGCTGAGAGAGGGATACACGTCAGTCTTGGGGGGTAGAGGAGAGGGAGGCCAGGATGGGGTACAGGTCAGTCTGGGGGGATGGAAGAGAGGGGGGCCAGGATGGGGTACAGGTCAGTCTGGGTGGAAGAGGGATGAAGGGATGCAGTGAGGGCATCAGTCTGGGGGAGTGGAAGAGAGAGGGGCCAGGATGGGGTACAGGTCAGTCTGGGGGGATGGAAGAGAGGGGGACCAGGATGGGGTACAGGTAAGTCTGGAAGGTGGGGGGATGAAGGGATGCAGTGAGGGCATGAAGGTCTGTCCCACTGTGAATCCGTGTGTGGCCCCCTTGCCAGCCCCCTGCCCGCAGTCCCTGGGTCCCGCTGGCCGGCCTTAGAGCTGCCGTCACAGATGTCTCCTGGTGCTCACACTGCCCAGCAGCACCACGCACGTCTTTGTAGGTACAGAATAAAGGTTTGTAAAATTATTGTAACATTTCATCTCACGTTGCCCTTGGTTTATAGAAGCAAGTGGAAAAGGGAAAATGCAGCTGCCAGCAGTGGGAAAGAGCCCCGTCTCCTGAGCAGACACACTCCAGCCATTTGTTCCTGGGCACAAGGACACTGCCCCCGGCCAGGGGGCTGGCCGCTGCAGGGATCCAGGAGGCAGAGGGCCACAGAAGGAGCATGCCTCCAGATGGGGTCTGGTGGGCAACTGGAGAGGGGGCCGGGGCCAGGGCTGAGGTACGCTGGAGGCTGAGCCCCACACATGCACGTCCACTCACCCATAAATTCAAACACCAGGTAGATGTCCCTGTCATTCTCTGCAGGCATCACGTCGAGGAGGCGGATGATATTGGGGTGGTCCCCAAACTCCTGGGGAGAGAGGCATGAGCTGCTGGAAGGTAGGGGCTGCACTCTGGGCGCTGAAGAGCCCAGGCTCCCCCTCATCTGGAAAACCTGCACCTGGGAAGGGACGCAGACGGGATGGCCTCGGCCACGCACCTGGAGGAGCATGATTTCCCGGAATGTTCTCTGGAACGAGATGAACATAGGTGTGGGGTGGAGCAGGAGGGAAGCAGTGTCCTGAAAGGCTGCAGAGGGCCTGGTCCCCACCCCATCCCAACGCTAGGCAGAGGGAGAGTGCTGTGTTGGTGAGGAACCCAGAGTCATGGGAGGTGAGGCAGGTCAGGGAGGCCATTCTGAGAAATCCCAGGAACCGCTGCTGGACTGGGCTGTGCTACCCTGGAGCTTCCAGGCAGAAAGGGGTCACACCCTGCCCTCACCCCCCTTCCCCATCACTCACCTGCCCTCACCCCCTTTCCCCATCACTCACCTGCCCTCACCCCCCTTCCCCATCACTCA